GAAAAGAAGATAGTGGTGAGGCAAAGAAGAGTCCCACCTGGGTTTGCCCTTGGAATCCTTACTCCCCTAGGCCAAATGCTAGGGCAGCTCATCCTTTCCTCCTGATGTATGTCTGGACAAGGTCCTTGGGCACCTGGAAGCAGGGTCAGCCCATGGCTTGCAGTCACTATGTCCTCCTAGGAAGTGCTACAAAATGGGGTTATGGAGAGTACCTACCCACTAGGGCTGTGGTCTATTACAATCCCCAATGTGCAGGTGAGGAAACTGAGGCACAGAGCAATGGAGTCTTTGCCCAAGGTCACAAGCTGACAGCTGAGTGCTGCACAGCAGGCTTGACATCTAGGCAAGGCTGCTCTACGTGAGCACATTCCAGAGCCGTTCAACCAGTTTCTCTGCTGCAGGACTTCCCTGAGCCTGGGACTCCCCAAATGGCCACCCAGTAGGCCATGCCTCTCAATTTTTCACAAGGTAACTTCAAGGGCAAGTGCTCCACAGAATACTAAAACTGATCCAGAAAGAGAGCATCCTCTTTAAGACACTGTTACTTTACTGAGGGAACAGATCTGTGAGCTCCAGACTGGGCTTATAGGGATAGAATTGTTCCTTCACAAGGAAGGGTGGGCAGCCACATCTGAGCAACAAAGCTTTCACTTCTGATAGGCCTAGAGCCCCGGGAGCCCCACAACGTCAGTGCTCGTTCAAGAACATCCACACCATAAAACACTAGCGATCCTGCCAGACGCTCATCCACAGAGCGCTCCCCGGCTGTCCCTCCCCACCCTTCTAGCCCCGCAGCAGCAGAAAGTCATGAGCCCGGATCTCGGTCTGGCTCTGATTGTTAGACAGTTGACTTCAGGCTCTCCAAAGTTCTCTTCATTGCAGTGTGTGCCCTACAAGGGCGAAAAGTTAAGGAATCAAGAGAAAATAAACTCACCACCTTGTGGAGCTACAGAGTAGCTCCCATTTACAGGAGACTGCTAAATGCCAGGCATTTGCTAGATGCTATGTGCCCATTATTGCCACTCCTTATAAGGGTCTTACAAAGAAAACATCATTAGGCTCTTTTTATGGAAGAAGACATCAAGGCTTGACATAGTTGCCAGACAAAGGTGCCCAGCTAATAAATGTGAGATCACTATGTGCACTTGGGTCTCACTGCAGAGTCTCTGCATGTGTCTTTCCATAAAGAAAGTGAGACACAAGAAGCAAAAGCTGTCTGGATAAGGGAAGGTCAGCTGGACTGGGACCTGAGACCTTCTCCAAGGCCTAAGCGATCTCACCAAGAAGCAGTATCTGAAGGTCATGCGATGTGGCTGATCCCCAGCATGAGATGAGGCACCAGGGCCAATGTGGCATCAAGAATTCAGAGGCCCTGAAGCTCCAGCCCTGATTGGATGCATCAGGCCAGACCCAGGGCAATTACCAAGCTGTAATAGGATCTGATATTTATATTAGTCACGAGCCTGGCAGAGAAAACATGCTGTTTTTTTCAGACACAGCCATGGAGATAACACCTCAATAATTCATTACATGCAGACCAACCCCGATCAAGCCCAAACTTCTACAGGGAGGACAGCTCTAACTCAGAACAGGCCTGAGTCCATGCCCACCGTGCAGGCCCCTCAGCAAACCACAGCTCCAAAGGAAGTCAGCCTCAGCTTCCCTGGACTAATGGGAAAAAAAGGAAACTGTTGTGCTGAATGAGGAGCAGGAGGTGGAAAGAAAGGCACATAAACTGAATTCCTAAAGGAATCGTTGCACCATTGCAAAATACATTCTGAGCTAGAAAGGTTACCCATAGTCTCTCAACTCCTTCCACTCCCTAACATGGAATCACAGAGCACAAGGGCCAGGAGAACACACAGAATTCAATCTCCACATTTTAAACACAAGAAACGAGAGACCACAGAGGTTAAATGACTTCTTCAAGGTCACAGCCGTATTCGGGCTGCCAGAGCAGCTCCCTGTTCACTACAGTCTGCTACCAGGTTGGACCTCAAACTGTCACAGCCCAGTGAAGAGAGCTCTGATGAAACTCAACAGACACAAAACAATGTGACAGAGTGCAGCAAAGAACACAGTCCTGAGTGACTGTGTCCAAGTTCTCAACAAGGGAGAAATGTGATTCGTTTTCTTCTTTATTTCCTAAAAAGAAAAATGCAATACAATTCTTTGCCAAATAATAGAGTCATTCACCATTTGGGATTCAGAGGCCAAAGGTACTAATGATACACCCACAGTCCCAGGTTCCTTTGATCAGAGAGGATGGTGCAGTCCCAGAGGCCAAGCACTTACGATTCCCCAGCTCCCTGCTGAAACTAATGACCCATGGAATTTCTAATGCTAAAAAGACTAGCCTTCCACTGGACCCCGGCTCCTGATCAAACCATCTTGGGTCTGAATGAAGGTGAGGGTGAACACACCTGAGGGCCAGTACAGTTCTGTGGAAAAGCAGCCTAGGTTTGCTTGGGAAACCCAGCAGTAAAATAATTATTCCAAGTTCAAGCTGAATGCATTCTTTTGTGCAGCATCTCGACAACTACCAATACTTGAAAAGCAAAAAGAGTGAAGGGCAGAAAAACCACGACTGCAAGAGACATCAAGGGTAGAAAGAATAGCTTGTAAAAGGCCTAAGTTATTACCATTGGGCATAAAGAGCTGGCTACACTAGGCTTCATTGAGCAAATCAAGGGGCAGATATTAAGAGATCTGGGCATGATTTAAAATGAACTCTAATGGTACCAAAGTGACCTGATCTTGTCCTACATTGCTTCCTGTCTCCCCCACTGAATGCAAGCATTTCTGATTTTTGTAGAAACTTCCAGTTATGTCAACTTAGGAGCTCTTGAAGCTACAAAATACAGCCTAATACAGGGATTATTTTATTTTTGTAGTGATCATTACCAAAAACCTATTTTCTTGAAGGAAAAAGACAGAAGTTATGCTTGCTCGTCATTCAAGAAAGAGATTCCTTCTGCGAACAATGTGATCAGCATTTCATCACAGGCACTACAGTGGCTTTAAGGAATCCCCTGGAGTCAAAAAAACTTAGAGACTGTTTAAAACCCCAGGATCACAAAAACATCAAAATTTATTTTGATTCATTGCAAAAAAAAGTTTTCATTATAATCAGGATTGTCCAATTCCTTATGGATAAGGAAGCTGTTAAAAAGTTCACTGAAATCACTCCGTCTAGAGAACATTTGAGATGTGCACAACCATGAGCTATCTCTCCCCCTGGCCCGACACCAAACCTCAGCGAGGGAAAATAAACTTGAGGGCTGAAGGCTCCAGGGAGGTCGAGGAGAGGAAATGGGTGGGTAAGGAGGTCCTATGAGTAGGCAGTTGTTAAATGGAGGGCAATGCTGGGGGCACAGTCTTGGGGTCTCCGTGCTTAGGATTCTGCTTCATCTGACGGCTGCTCTGGAATGTGGGAGGCTGTCCACCTTGACAAGTAAGGAGAAACCTCTCCTGAGAAGGAAACTCCAAAAAAACCAGGCTGGCCCAACATCTGGAGGCTTCTGGAGAAGTAGGAGGAGAGGGAGAGATTTTATTTTTCTCCCTTATTTCCGACTCACCAGTATTTTCCAAAACACAAACGTGCTGCCACAAAACACAGCTGAGCTCCAGCACCCGACAGGATGCATTATTAATGGCCTGGAGAGCGAGGTTCAGTTCACTCCTGTGTGTCACCCACAGACCCGGGTTTCCCTACTTCTTCCTGTAGCAGCTGGGGAGTCTGCGACAAGTTGCTGTGCCCTGTGGAAGTTTGAGGGGTCCTCGGACCAACTTTCCCAGGAAAAGTGTGTACATTCCGAAGGAGTCTGCCTCTACCTCGCACTGTTCCCCTATCCCCCTTGATCTCCCCTCCATCTGAAAATGTTGGCACTGGAAAGTACCCTCGTATGGGAACTATTCAAACAGAAGGCATATTGGGTCACTCTGTTTTTTCCAGTTCTTTCTTTTATATTCGCACCCCCCCCCCCGCGCAGTTTTCTTTGCGCCCCCCCCCCTTCGGCCAATGAGGGGTCAAGGACGAGGTCTGTAGCGACTCAGAGACGGACCAGGAAGTTAGCCTAGCAACCATACATAAAGTGTAGTGAGCCTGGTTGCTGGTGGGCGTCTCTGCGCCAGGAATAGCTTAACCCAACAGCCAGCCACCTCAAAAGCGTCGGAGAGGAGGCTCCGCGAGAAACCGCGGCCTCGGCCGGTTCTCAGGCGGACCTCCCGCTTCAGCCTCCACGCTGCTGGTGGCATTTCCGGGGACCTAAATGGGGTGGCATGGGGGCGAGAATACAGATGCCCCATAACTTGGGGGGAGGGTGCATGTTCCACAAGAATATCTAACGGATGAAGAGGGAGGTGACATCACATCACCTCGCCACACTCCTAAAGTGACAACCTCCCCAGGTTACCTCCAAAACTGGGGTGCATCTCCCCAACTTTCTCTCGTACCCCCACTTCCTCTGGCCATGTTCCTCCCCCGGGAGTCCCTAGTCTAAAAGGTTTCCTCCTTTGCCCAAAGGATTTCCCCTTTTTTCTGACTCCACGAACTCATCTCCCCAACAGGTTTCTAAAGTGCGGGCTGTTGTGCTCCCATTCGCCCACCGAAAGGAACCGAGCCTCGGCAGGTGGGCCGTGCGGAACGCGCACCCAGCGGCCCCCAGCTTCCTCGTTGCCCGCGGGGTTGGCTCTCCCTACCCCGCACCACAGCGCCCGAGCGGCGCGCATCCCCCACTCCGGCCGCAACCGCAAACAGCCCTACAATAAACAAGGGAACGGGATTGGGCGTCCGCGTCCCAGAGCGCACCGGTTGGGGGCAACTCCTCACCTCCGGCGCGTCTCCCGCTGCCCCAATCCGAGGGCGCTGGGAGAGCGGAGAGAAGGGAAAGAAGCCAAGGGAAGGCAGGTGGGGATGAAGGGAGGAGGTGGGCTGCCGGGCACGCGGCGGAGAAGCGAAGGGGCTGGCGCAGGGGGCGGGCGTCCAGGGCGCACCTTACCTTCGTCTTGCCCCCGCAGTGGCAGCAAACGGTCCACAGGTACTTGAGCGTCCGCCAGAGCAGGATGATGAAGAGGCCCCCGAAGAAAGTCACCATGGAGGAGGCCAGGAAAGCCCACCACATGCGTTGGCCCCGGCTGTCGCACGGCACCTCCATGGTCACCGGGATGATGAGCGCATCCATCTTGGGCTCGTGGACCGAGGACGAGGAGGAAGAGGAGGAGGATGAAGAGGAGGAGGAAGAGGAGGAGGAGGACGCGTCTAGGCTGAGATGGTTCGCGTGGATATTGCTACTCATTCTAAGACTGCTGCCTCCGCCTCCGCCGCCGCCGCTGGTGCTGCCACCGCCGCCGCCGCCACCATTTGCCATAGCTAGCAACGGACAGCCAGCGCAGGGGCTCGGGGGAGCTCCTCCCGCCGCCAGCGCCGCCCCGAGCACCCATCCACAGCCATATTGCTGCTCCTGCTGCCGCCGCCGCCGCGGAGCGCGGGGAGGGGGCGGGGAGGCGCCTGGGCTCGGGGCGCTGTGCGCGACCTGGCGGGGTGCGCGAAGATATATACAGCCAACCGCGCCGTCCGCCCTCCCCCCGGCCACCGGCCCGCCCGCCCGGGGGGGAGGGGGATGGAGCGCGGGGGCAGCTCCCTCTACTCCACCCGCCGCTCGCCAGGAACCGCGCTGCCCCTGAGCACGGAAAGTCCAGGGGCGCCGCGGGCCGCCTGCGCCCAGGGTCTGCACCGCCCCCGGGCCCGCCTTGGCTCTGTGCGCGGGCCCGGGTGCCCTCGGCTCCGCGCGGCGCCGCCCGCCGTGCGACACGCTTGTGCGCTGCGCTCTGGCCCGAGACCTCCTCCCCACGCGCAACTCGCGCCGCTGACGAGCCGCTTTAGGCTTATTAGGAGGCAACTCGTTAATAATGTATAATCAGTACCCTCCGCCCGGAAGCCCCCGCGCCAGCCCTTCTTCCCTAGATGCGCTCGACCCGTCTCCCCGCCCCTGTGCGCACTGGGCCGCGGCAGGTTCACCGCGGCCAGTCGGTGAGCGCCGCAGCAGCTAGCCCTTGCAGCCTGAGCGCGTCGCCACGCCACTGAGCCTCCTCGGCCTCGGCGCGTTATTCCTCCTCGCCTTCTTCGGCTCCTCCTCGTCCCCGTTCTCGCCGCCCGGTCCTCTTCGGCGCGCGCCCCGCGCTCCCCGCAGTCGCCAGCAGCAGCAGCTGCAGCAGCTGGAGCGGGCGCGGGCTCAGGCCACCCCAGGCGGGAGGGAAGGAGGCTCGCGGTGCTGGCTTGCCTAGACTCAGGGCTGGGCAGGGGGGAAGTTGACCCTTGCGTGGCGGCCTGGCACGCACCCCTGACCCCCATAGAGAGTGAGGTAGAGCTCCCTAAACCCAGGCACAGGACCTCGCAACTCTCCAATGTGCTGCGCCCCCAGCAGAGCTCCCTGAGGGTCCCGAAGAGGATGGCAGGACCCCCATGGCAGGCCATTTTCCCAAAGGTGACTCCTTGGGGAAGGGAAGAGTGACCAGCTGTGGACTCTATTCCAAAGGCCTGACGCCTCAAGATCCTCGAGCCTCGGGAGGGTCGAGCCTCGAGCCTGAAGAAGGGACACTTCTTCAAGATATGCACCCTACTGATCCTTAGTTCGCTCCTCCTTTCCTTCTTCCTAGGCGCTGACGAGTGGTCTCTGGCCTTGACACCAGCAGGTGGTTTTTCTGCCTCTTCCTCCTGAAGCAAGGGAGGCTGCCTAAGAAGGCAGACAGAGAGGGTGGGTGGGGAACCTGACCTCATGGGTGGTGCAGGCTCCATGGGCAGTAGAGTTCCTTAAAGTCGCTTTCTTTTACCCAGCTTCAGATTCCATTGTGTGAGGAGGGCAGCTAGCAAAAGGGTTGGCTCCAGGCTCCATGCAAGCCCACCTTTCCCCATTTAGGGGTTTCCCTCCTCTCCCCTTAAAAGATGAAGGAGTCTGGGTTTGTTCAGCAGCCTTTATCCCTTTACCACCAAAGGAATCCCCTTTCTAGTATTCTCAGAAGCTTTGTTCCCTTGTGCTAGCAGACGAGCCACAGGCTTTTCCAGTCCTAAGTAAAAGGAAGATGATCACACTTGTCCCCTCGTTGCCCACAGTAGTTCCCCCAAAGATTCCAGCTCATTAGTTTAAGCCTAATTGGAATTCTCAGGTTCCTTTCAGCCCTTCCAGTGACGAGGGCCAAGTTAGCATCCTTCCCTCAATGCTGTTCACCTGAGCCAGAGCTCAGCCCCTCCCCTTGCCCTTGGAGGCCCTAGGGTGCAGGAGAGGACCTCTGAGGGAGGCCGAGCCGGGCAGAGAAGCTGAAGGGGATTTTTGCCACCTCTCCTACTTCATTAACATACTGGGTTCAGGACACACATCCATCAGAAAAGAGTCAAGGTCAAAGGACAAAATGAAATGAGATAGAATTCTTGAGTGTTACTCTAAAGCAGTATGTAAAACAGCCACAGACAGCATCTTCCAGAAAGTAAAATTATCATTCATTTGGCATCTCCGTCCTTGTCTTCCATGGTCAGCAGCACCTCTGGAGGCATCCCTGCCAAATCAGAGCACATGTGTAAAGGCCCTGGGTCTGTCCAGCACTGGGAGGGTGGGGAAGGGGGGCGGGGGTCATGTCTAGAAATGCTGTGGGATGTGCAAGAAGATAACTGTGGCCTTGAGTTTCCTTGATTTATTAACCTTCTAAATGTCTGCACTTTGCTGCCTTTGGGCCTCCATATATGTTGGAAAAGTTGAGGACTTCCCTTGAATCAAGTCCAAGGTTTGAAATTTAAAAACAAAACACCTGTAACATAAAAAGAGCAGCAAAGGACAGAACAGTTTGCCCACGGGGATGTAAAACCCCATAATGGATTCCCTCTCCGACAAAAGTGAGCTTTACAAACCAACACATCCTTTCCAGGCTTTCCTGGACTCCCCCACAGCCCAGGCTCCCTTCAAACACCCGTCTGGGGCTATGAGCAACAGGCCATTGGTTGCTGGGATTCCATCACCCAAGTGCTGAATCCCCAGCTGTGTTTCCTCCTCTACCACCACCTTCATCTTCTCATCCTTGCAGAGAGTACTGGGAGGCCTCTAGACATCACACTTCTCCCTTTATCACCCCTGCCTGGGCTGATTGAAGCTTTTAGCAACTTCTGTGTTAAGAAAGCCTAGGCTTAGCTCGTATTCATCAGAGACCCTCACCATCAAAATCAGTGTCCTACAGTTCCTACAATCCCCAGTCCTTCACCACCTCCCGCATGGCCTCACTGGTAGGCACCGAATGAGGCACACCACCATCCACCACCACCCACCAGAAATAGACCTCATCGGGCCTTTGCCCAGCTCTCCCCTGCTACTTCCTTATCATCCACAAACTTCTGCACCAGGTTCAGGAAACCCAGCCTCTGGCCTCACCAGCGAGGAAGAGTTTCTGCGCAGCTAAGATAGAATTTCAGACTTAAAAGGAACCTAAGTAACTTTCATTCTGTGTGTTTCCATGTTTGTAAATTGGAATAAAAACAGGCACTGCCCCACCCACCTCAAGGGTCATTTGTAAGGGTGAAAAGGAAAACACAGATTTTGTTTGTGACTACTATGACCCAAACACAGAGAGCCAAACTCGGACCAGATCTCCCCATCCACAAGCCAGCCCTTGTGTGTGCGTGCACTGTACCCCGGGGGAGATGCGTGCAGGCAGAGTTGTCTTACCCTGTCCCCACCTGCTGTTCTGCATCCCCCAGGGCCCCCCTTGCAGGGAGAACTGAGGTCAGTCACTCTGCCCTCTGCTGCAGCCATAACACAGGGCCCCACAGACAGCCAAGCGCAGACAGCTTACAGGGTGGGGCAGAGCCACCCCAGCTGAATGGGCCCTCCAAACCCAGACTCACTTGCACACTCGCTGCCTTCCCGCTGCCTGAGACAGCCTTGGACATGTGAAAAGTATGAAGACGCACCTATGAACAGCCCGGTGCGTTTCACCCTTGTAAGTGTGTCTGCAGACTGGGAATTAAGGGTTGTTGCACAAGAAAATGGAGGCCTAAACTAAAGCAGAGATTTCAACCTCCTCTGTTCTGAAAACAATACAGGCCACTTATTTATTTCTAGCTACATTTATAAATGTCTCAGAGAGGAGGTGAGCCTCTTTATCATGTGAATGTGTGCCTGTGGCAGCTTTCAGAACAAACCAGGGTTTTCTATTTCTAAAGAATTCTAATCTGAACAATCCCTACTGATTTAAAAGAAAGAAATAAAAGTCTGTAAACATACAAACTAAAAAAGCAGAGTCATTAAAGTAATAGCCAAGGGAACAAAGAAGCTTATTTAATTAAATGTCAGTGCAGCATCATAATTAATGTACACTGGATTTCATTTATCTGGAGCCTGGACCCAGTTCCAAAACTCCTGACATAAATCTTGGTGATTTTGCTGTGGAGGAGCCCAGTGGACTCTAGGTGACGTAGCGCCCTCTGGTGGCTCTTTCTGGCACATTAATATGTGAAGTTGGAAATTTGGTATGAAAATTCCAAAGAGGAAACTCCTGCTGTAAAAATCTGAAACCACGATAATATTAATAATCCATTTTTCAGTCCCACCAGCATGTAAACTGTTGTGACCAAGGCAACTAACAGGGCTAATATTGTTACCATGATTTAATGTCCCATCTCCTGAGCTGTAACTACCACTGATAACCTAACACTCCTTAAATTACCATTGTGTTATCTTCTAAATGGCTAACAGACCTCTTCCCTTTTTTACTTTCTTTAGTCTTTATCATCTCTCTGGGATATAAGTAAGAGCAGTCTATTCTTCCGTTTTATAGGTAGGGAACCTGAGGATTAGATCTGTCGAGCTACTTGGCATGACAAGAATGCCTGTAATTGGCAGCAGCTTGTTTCTGTGAGACTCACAATGACTGGGGATCACTGCAGTGGCCCACCCCTCGAAACCAAGAGCAAAGCCTGTGAGCACCAGCAGGGACCCTTGGTTCCTAGGTAGAGAGAGGGACTCACAGAGCAAGCTTTGAGGGGGTTATAAATATTTATTTCATATTTATTTCTGCCTATTAGAATAACTCAGATTCATACTGAATTTGGAAAATAAAAGTTTTATAAAATAATGTAAAAATTCCCTAGAATCTTATCACCCACAGATAATAATTACTAATATTTTTATATATTTCTTTCACACCTTTTTCTTGGGTGTGTATCTTTGCAAAATTTTTATCCTATTTTCCCTTAACATTAAATTGTAAATATTTTTCTCCATGTCATTAAATATCATGGAAAACACTTGTTTAAAAATAATTGAGTATTCCATCAGCTAGCATACTGCTGACATTTAGGTTATTCTGAAATTTAACATCTTTTTAAACAAGCCCTAAAAGTCTGTGTAAGTGATTAACAGTTGAGAGGATGTCCTGAAGAAGATTTGCACTGATGCTCTGACACACTAGCCCCAGGACCTGTTTTCCGCAGATGGCACACGTGAGAGCCAGCCCGGCTGTGGGAGACCTCCAAGCCCTGCTGCAACACACCGGCCTCACGTCCACAGGTCCGAGGGAAGACATGTGGGCCAGGACAGGGACATGACGCTGCCAGAAAATCCTCCCCTTTTCTAACCCATCGAAGCCAGTGCCTTTGAGGAAAATGGTGTCTGTGGTCCTATCCCGCTTTCCTGAGCCCTTATCCCCAGGGCCCACAAACTTACAAGAGCACGGCCTTTATGCCCCTCAGCCACATCCCCTGGCTAGAATTCAGTTCCACATGCATCCCACAGGACTGCCAGAATAACATCTCCCCCTCATCTCTGTGATCAGTGTCGCCCGACCAGCACACCAGTAACTGCTGGCCTCGCCTCTGGGAGGCAGGCAGGGCAAAAATTAGCCCACCCATTCTTACTGTGGGCGAAGGAAAAACCAAAGGGGGAAGAGCTTCTCTTCAGTACTACCCAACCTGGTCTTATTTCCAGGACAACAGACTTTCTAATCCTTTTCTTACAGGGTCCCTGACTTCATTTTTGCAAAAACTCTGGTTCAAGAGGTAGGCAGTTGAGCACTCAATGACTACATAAAGGCACTTGTGCAGATGAGTTAAGGGGCTTAATCCTGCTTCCACCTAGTAGCTTTTGCCAAATTTGCAAATACGGACAATGCTGAAATTACTTTTCCCAACTTATAAGCCTCTAGA